GTGGCACCTACTGAAAATCAGTGAAGTTACAGACTGTTCATATGAGAGTGTGTAGTTATAGATGCATATGTGTTGTGACATTGGTATTTTATTTTTAAAAAATGCAATATATTAACACGTTAAGTTTTTCATGCTGCTTTACATTTAATACATACAATCCCAGCAAATTTCAACACAATTGTACTTTTATTTTCCAAATATGTATTCCTCAAGAGATTCTAAAAAGAAGCATTAAAGAACTGATCCTCAAACATCATTAAACTTTAACGGAAGTTCAAGAGCACGAATTTCCACCCCCTTTATTCAACAGTTCAGTTCAGTTTTTTTTTTATTTTTTTTTTTATGGAGAACAGAGCTTTTCTGAATGATACCTCTACTCCTTAATAAGCTCTTCATATGTTGCTAAGCATTTCAGTTATTTTGTCCACCTTTTGTAGTAATGTGTAATTGTAAAATAGCATAAATATAATCATACTTCTGCAAAAGAGGTTTTTGAGAGTAGTTAAAGATATCCTGCTATTAATTAATACAATTTTCTTCTGTCAGATGCATGCCAGAGCAGAAATTTACCAGAATGCATGAGCTGCTCTAATCCATACAGAGAAAGTAAATGAGGACCAGAAGATTTCAAGCTCCAATAAGGACTACGAAAGCATGATAAATGTACCTTATGACTCATGCACCATTTTCCACATCTTCTGAAGCCACATGGTAGCTCAGTGTGAGGAACAAAGGGTGAGTAAATAATGCCAGAATTTTCGTTTTCGGGTGATCTATTCTAATGACTTTGTTTTCCTTGGATGAGCTCCACGCTAATCATTTCAACAGCTTTCATAAGAATATTTCTTAACTTCTCTTTGCCAATTAATTTCAACCATTTCAGTTTCCAACTGAATAAAGGATTGTGCATTGGTATAGATTGTCTCTTTCCAAAGAAGTAAATAATCATATCTAAAATGACGATTAAATTAGCACAGCCCTGCACACGGAGGGTGACATTAAGATAACACAGAGATAACATCTCCACACAGGAGCAATGTGTTTGTAATCAAATTCACTCAATTTCAGCCACACGCTCCAGTGAAAGAGCTCACGAGGAAAAGCAATGGGCACCTCAGCTAAGATAAACGGTGGCCAACGTTGTATGATTTACACCATATGAATGGATAAATATTTCAATTTAAAAGCAAAACATTAAACTGGCCGAGGCAGTCGATCAATGCAAGCATTCCGTTACATACATCTTCAGGGTTCATAAATAATAGCCCATGCAATTACTCCTCTTCAAATGAGGTTTTAAAGCTGGCGTGGCACAGTACATCTTTATAGTAATGTTTTTATTTCCTAAACCTTGTGTTATTCTTGTTCTTATTGTAATTGCTTCTGTCTTTTGCCTCATCAAGCTGACAGATATCTGCAGTAAGATAGTTTCTCAAGATCTTCATGCGGCTCCTCTGTGGGTTTCTCCATTTACAGCCTCTCGGTCCATCACCGATATCGTCACTACATACTGAAAAATGCTGTGTGCAAACTTAGTGATGAAGGATGCATTTTCTGATAAAAAATGTTCTGTCGTGCCTCATTTTTAAATTTTTCTTTTCTTATATAATTTGAAAGAGTCTCTCGAGTTCCCAACTAGCTATCGAAACATTCTCAGAACATTTGCTAATGTTCTAGCAAGGTTACAGGTAACCAGTGTTGGGGAAAGTTACAGTAACATCACAGCGCACACAACGCCTCTGCACTTACTCCCCATTTTTCTCAACATGACAACACCAGAGCTGTCAGTCAAGACATGGGAAACAAAGTAACTAGCGTTACTTATTTGAAAAAGTAACTCAGATATTTCCTTCTAAATTAAAAAGTAATGCGTTACTTTACTAGTTACTTGAAAAAAAGTAATCTGATTACGTAACTTGCGTTACTTGTAATGCGTTACCCCCAACACTGCAGGTAACGTTAGTAGAACATTTATTCAAAGTTATCTGGTCTTTATTAACATTCTCAAAACGTTAGTACAAAAACTTTATTTATACATTGTTTATGGAACATTTTTCTGAAACATTTAATATTTTAATGCTAATATTTTTCAGTTTCAGAGGGTTCAGAAAAAGTAGCATTTTGATAATCTAATACATTTTGATAATCATTTTGATAATCTAATAAAATGGAATGTTCCCCTTAATGTTGTCTTTTACGTTCACATAACATTTAAAAAGCTGGATGTTTTGAGCGTTCAGAGAACATTCTGAAATAACGTTTTCATAACTTAATGTAAATATTAGCAAAACGTTCTTAGAAAATATTTTTGTTAGTTGGGCAAGTCTGGAATTTATTATGTTGAGTATATGTTGTGAAATATTTTTACAATTTAAAACATTTGTTTTCTATTTTAATATATTTTAAAAAGTAAATTATTTCTGTGATGGCAAAGCTACATTTTCAGCTCTGATTACTCCAGTCTTCAGGGTCACATGATCCTTCAGAAATCAATTTTAGTATGCTGAGATTGTGCCCAAGAAACATTTCTGATTATTATCAGTGTTGAAAATGCTGCTTAAAAGCAGAGTAAGGGATTTCTGGTAGCCAATGTTGATATTTGAAATCACCAAAACAAACACGCCCCTACCCCAAAAGGGTCTTGCCCCTATTTTGATAGCTCCGCCCCACATATACTCCGGCGCTGGAAAGCTGATCCGATATTTTCACGGGTCCTACTTCTTGCCTTATCTTTCCGCAGACGTTTTCCTCTTTTGTTTTTTTATCCGCCATCTCTATCTTTCTGTCTCTCGGCTCGGCTAATGTCCGTCCCATGCACTGAAAGCTCTCTCCTCCACATCACGAGTAGACACGCCCCTTATTGCTGATTGGCTACAAGTTTGTTTTGCGATTCGGCCCGAATCAGTTTTCTAAAGTGTTTTTGAAAAATCACTTACTCTGCCTTTAATATTTTTGTAGAAACAATTTTCAGGATTTTTTTTTATAAATAGAAAGTTCAAAAGAACAGTATTTATTTATTTGTGTGACAATGAAAATGTCTTTATTGTCAGTTTTGACTAATATATTATAATATATTACGCATTAATTCTGCAATATACAGCCATTCATTAACTGCACCGGTTAATATAGATGCAGAATGCATTATTAATATATGTCAGCCCACAATAAAGCATTCAAAAAAACGCTGACAGATATGTGCTGCTGCACAATCATATACACCTTGGCTAATATGAAGCATTCATTTCATTCATTGGCAATATTACATGTCATCTACAATGGAAAATGCTGGCAATAGAATGGTGACAGTGATGATAACGTTGATGCTTACGATGATATGCGAAAAGTGTTTTGATGCCAAGGGATAAAAAAATGGCTTTTTCAGTACAATACAGTGTCATTTGTCATCGGGCAAGGACAGTCGTAATCATCCTTTGCGCGTGCCTTTCCCCATCAGTCTTCCCCTCGCTCTGTATCAGGATCAATCTAGGCTCATTTATTTTAATCGTCTCCTGTTTGCTAAACTGACAAAGTCAACAGAGGACGACAGAAACAAGCCTCGCTCTCAAAACAAGCCAAAAACAGCCATTTCCCGGTCTCATAACATTGTTCGTATTATTCTGCAAACGTATGAGAGTTTTAATACTTGTTTTAACCTTCAATGTGTCCCTAAATGTAAATACAATTTAGGTTTTTTTTCTATTAACTTTTTTTTTTTTTAGAAAACGTTGAAGGTAATTCACAAGAACTTAATTATTAAATATATTTTTTTAACTACAAGACAGACTCAACCATAGTTATGTAATAAAGACACATTACATTGAGAACTAGAGTGACCCTATCAAAATATTTAAATATACAAGCGTAACATTTGTCAAAAATGTGTATATAAATAAATCAAATAAACTGACTAAGCACTGAACTCTTAGTGGCAACTAAGTTAAATTCACAGCAAGCCCATAGTATACAGCAATAGTTCACCCAAAACTGAAAATTTGCTGAAAATGTACTCACACTTCCAATATGTAGATGAGTTTGTTTCTCCATCGGAACAGAATTGGAGAAATGTATCATTCCATCACTTGCTCACCATTGGATCCTCTGCAGTGAATGGGTGCCGTCAGATTGAGAGTCCAAACAGCTGATAAAAACATCACAATATATAAGTAAGCACCGTTTACAAGCAAAAAAAAACAAAACAGTTCAAACAGTTCTGAAAAAAATATATGAGTGGATTTTGATGTGAGAGGACAACAGGGGATGGACTTTTTGGAAGCCTCATTATGGATTATGGACTTAAAGTCTGCATGAAATCAAAATTGACTTTATTTACTTTACTAGCGCACATTGCTAGTCTTGATGTAAACAATTAATCCGTGCAAGTTAATCCGCTGAAAAAAATTGTTTGTTTTCGTAATATACCTGCACATACAACTGTCAATTTATATATTTTTATTCCTTATTTACTT